CAATTACCAAGTATTTCTTAGGTCTTTTGAAAAAACAAGGAAAAAATAAAAAGTGAAATTTTTCCTTCAAGAAATCTGAAAAAGACATGTCATTTCAAAATAGAGTAGTGGATGAAGTGAATAATTATAATGCACCAAGAATGCCAAAATTGCCGAGAAAACCGCCACGTGGACTCCATGCTTATGATATCAAAATATTCCCATACACAGCTTTACCAAGCCCCAAATATCTTTCGTTAGAAAACATCGCTTATTCGATGCATGCGCCATATTCAATTACACAAACATTATTTCAGAAATTTCACAAACACTGGGGGTCCAAATGTAAGGAAATTTGACTTATGGGTTATTGGATCTGCAAGAAAAGAGAGCCCAATGTAACTTCCGAAATCGTCTAGCAGCAGCTGATCCTGATGGGGAATATAAGTTTTTGTAAAGCTGTAAAGTTACTTTTCAGCGTTGACGTGATGCCGCACATTATGAACACATGTTAGGAGTGAATGCAGGAGACATTTTTGCAACTTCGAACGTTGCAATATACCATGAACGTAGGCCACCAGTGCACGGCACCTATTTTCCTGTATCATTGCAATCAATTCGTGGATTATTTCCGTCAGAAAATCTAATGCTCCCATCTGAAATTACACAAATCTAATTAAGTAGCATCACAAAAACACCAGCAATGGACTATCATAATATTATCGATTATAACAGTGGCAGTTAATACAAAGTTAAAATTACAGCTTGTGATGTTGAATAAGAGACAAGCCCACGATGAAAAATGCCGAAAAATGAACAGCTTCTCTTTGGAGAAATTAATGAAGTAAAAAAGCATACGCATTGCTATCGGTGCTTCTATTCTGATCCTTTGAATAAAATGAGATAGCAGGTTTTGACGAGCTTCCCCTTGCATTAACATCCCCTACCCCTCCCCCTCCCGCAGGCTAAATTCGATGAAAGTTATACCAAAACAACTGGTCAGTGAAAACCGATACGGATGCTGATAAAATAAATGAAAATTTAGACTAATATTATAATCAGTTGATACTTTGTTACTATACCCTCTACGCCACAGATCAGCAATACGAAAGCTCTTAACGATTTAAGTTAAGGGAACAGCTATTGAAATTTCTGCATTACTGCACTTATGTCTATATGTGTACATGTATATATATATATATATATGTACGCATACATATATATATATGTATATACATATGTGCATATATATATGTACATGTATATACATATATATATGCATGTACATGTACATATATATGTATATATATATATATATGCATATTTCTAACGTAGATGAAAACTGATTGAAATATTGTACCTTACACTTCCATGCATTACGCAGATCGAGATCCGAAACCGTGGCCGTTGGAGAATTAACAAAATAGGATCGTAAAAAATATAAGGAAATCTGTAAATGTGAAAATTGTCAATAAAACTAACAATTTAGTGGATTAAGGAAACAAAACTAATCTATTTCGAGCTATGAAAGAAAACATCCAGCGTACAATGTACTATTAAAATCGCGTTAAAAAAGTCCCTGTGTCTGGAATGAAGCTTTTAGTTTTTTGAGGGCGGAAGGAAAAATTTTATGCAAGGATCGGCGAGATATGAGAGAAAGGAGCGGGAGGATAATCCGTCCTTTAAAACTTGGTGAACTAAATACCACTTCTTTTAAAACCTTAAAAAATTCGTTATTTTCTCGACGGCTCTCTCTTCGCTAACGAAGCATAAGGAAAAAATGCAAATAAATTTATACACTTACAGTCATAAAAAGTTCAAGAAACGTGTAATGTTTATTTT